AAACATAATTTTAAAACATGTTTATTACCCCAAAAAGAAACTCTGTGCCCTTTGAAGTCATTCCCCATTCCCACCGCTCAAGCAACCAATTCATCCCCACCAGCCACATACGAGGGTTTCAGCTCTCCACATCCTGGCATAGAGCCTTCCATATAGTAAGAGGGGCATAAATGTAACTGAAGGAAGATGAGTCACCTAATTCTCCTTTTCCTTTAACAACAAATTCTAGCTTTAAGAGCTATGCTATCTTTTATACTAGCCATAATCAAATGTTATTGACTAATACTTTCTTATTATGGTTATTTTTATTTTATGCTCTCCTTTTTTCTCCAATGGAGGTTTATAATATGTGGAATATATTTAATTATTAAGTTAAGGATAAGAAATACACTTAAATTTTAAGTTAACATTTTGTGATATCCCATCAAACCCTATAGTGTGGTTAAATTGCCCCAAAATTACAATGCTCTCTCAAAATAGTTTCTAGTTTTGAGTTTTATAAGATGTCTTTGTCATGCAGAGTCCAGGTTTGTTAACACTCTGGTTAAAAGAGTCCACATTCTCAGAGTGTACTAGAATATACTATGGCCATTGTGTGTTTCTTAGAAGCATATTTTCATCCAGTTATATGAATAAGGGCTCCAAATTTTGAACGTACTCATGGAACACTAGTCTAAATAAAACAATACCTTCTGGTACTTACCTATCTTGTTATTTTTGTTTAGGAGAAAATCCACCACTTAGATAATATAAATGAATTATTAATGTTAGGCTTTATTATATAACTGCGAATTCTATTTGGGAGTTATAAACACAGGCTTCTTGAGACACTTTCTTCTTCTTAAGTTTCAATTGAGCATGCCATCTTCTTGTTTCTGTTTTCCGCTGGGAGCCCTGGAGAACCTACCCTCTTCATTTCCCACCAAACCTGTCAGGCCTATCCTGATTCCACACCCGGGTTCTTGTTGTCCCATTTGCCAAAGCCACCCTTTCATGAGTCTCTCCATTGTTCTTTACAATTGACCTACTCTATGAGGCCTCCACTCCAGCTCCAGTCTTAATTACTTCCATTTCCATCTGATTCCTAAACATTTAATATTAATCCACCTCTTTAACACTCAATTTCATACTCTCTTATGCACATATCATCCCTTTCTAACTGGGTTGTAGTCTCCTTGAGGGCAAGGACCAGACATGTCATATCTCTGATTTCCCTTGGTATCTAGTGCAATATAATTTAAATAAGTGATCAAAACACCTTTTGAATAAACTTTGCTTTTATAATGCATTTCTGTAAGTATTATAGAAATTTTGTTAACTTAGAGTTTTTATTTAAAAGAATGTCAGAAAGATGATTTTATCACATTGGATCATAAGGTATAAAGAAGGGGAGCTAATAAGATGAATTTTTCAGTACAAAAATATGAAAGTATGACATGTCTATATTTTCCATACTTTGTGGTCATAGGACTCTACTCAAAAGTTTAACTTTTGGCCCAAGTTAACTTTTTGGGACCAAGTGGGGTATGGGTGGGTAAAATTATCAACTTGAAAGTACTGCATACTCACAATTTATTTATTCTGTTGCACATAAAAGAGATGAACACCAGCTACATCAACAAAATAATTTACTGAGTTAGCTCGTAGAATGAAATGGAAGACTGGAGAAACTAGGCTTGGGTATCCCTAGGGAGTCAAGGTAAGGAACTGACAGAAGGCCTCTTCAATACACTACTATTGGGATCAATAAACTCTAAATAGTTTTCTTTCATTATTTATAGCCTTTCATTCAAGATTCAGGGTCCTAGGAGAGAAATCCTACTGGCCTTGCTTGAGTCAGGTACCACTCTACAGGTCAAGATCAAGGAACCTTTTTTTTTAAAAAAAAATATATTTTATTGAGTTTTTACAGAGAGGAAAGGAGAGAGATAGAGAGTTAGAAACATCAATGAGAGAGAAACATCGACCAGCTGCCTCCTGCACACTCCTCACTGGGAATGTGCCTGCAACCAAGGTACATGCCCTTGACCGGAATCGAACCTGGGACCTTTCAGTCCGCAGGCCGACACTCTATCCACTGAGCCAAACCGGTTTCGGCAAGATCGAGGAACCTTGATGAATAGTCCCACCAACTATTTAGCATAAGGAAGACCCAAATCCCCCAAAGGAAAAAGGGCACCATTACAAAAGGGAGGAAATGAAAACTAGTCTGTTTGTAAAATCTCCTTACAGAATACAGAATATCAGAGAAGTAGCAAGTGATAGATATCTAAGGAATAGAGAAAACTACAGGAGAAAGGTATTACCCTGACAGCAAACAATAAATCACAAAATGGTATTTTTCACCATGCTCTATTGATACTACATGTATCTCAAACTAAGAAACAAATGTCAGAAGCCGTTAGCCAACACTTTATAAAAACTTGTCTTTCTAGTCAGAGCTGGTACACATGAGAGCTTTGTATTTTAAAGGTTTGCTCTCTAGACTATTTCCTGTGAGAAGAATTTCTCTCACTTCTTGTCCTATGTGTTGAAATGTCAGCCCAGGCAATGCAAGGTAAGGTAAGGCAAGGCAAGGCATGGAAAAGGTATTGGGTGGATAGAGGCATTTCTGTCTAGGTAGGTGCTAAAACTGGGAGGAAAGATATTCCTCCTCACCCTTTCACTCTCCCTCCTCCAGAAAATATTGGCTTTTTCATGATTCTATTGTTGTCTTTTTTGGCCTATGTGAATGTGTACTTTTCCTAATGTTCCATAATTTGAAGATTTAAATGAAGGAGAACCTCAAATGCACTTTTTTTCCCGCAACGTTTTAGTTTCATTAGATGTTTGGTTATTGCTGTCATACATTATCTAGTTTAGGGAATTAAGACTCTTTTCTTTAAAAGGGATTCTGAACAAAAATTGCAAAGTACTAAATTCAGGAGAACACCAGAATTATATTGTTTACTTTTATAATAAAGCAAGTACTGGAGGGAGTAAACTTCTGATGAAGGGGCATATATGATTACTTCAAAGGATATTAATATTTGGAGTATTCTGTCTGCTAACACCATTGTGTGGTCCGAGAGACTGGATTTTAGATGCTACCGTTTTGTGCACAAATTGTAACATCTTTCAGTTCTTAGTTATTAGATATTGAAATATTAAAATATTGAAGATTCAGTAACTAAATAGTCAAGTTGTTTATGCAAAAGCCTATGGCAGGTGGGGACATGATTTTTGCCTAGTGCTCTAAATGTCAAAGTGAAAGTATTTACTGAAGCTTAGGTAAATTGATGGGTGTAACTATGACTCTTTTAAGGTAGCCAAATGTCTCACCATCTAATTAAGGATGTGAATGAATGGATGATTGATATTCCTAATGCCTTTCTCTATTATCTGATGAAACCACAGCCAGGGCAATGGCTTGGCAAAATCTTTGAGCAAAGAAGACTCTGTTGACCTTGACTATAAACCTGGCATGGTGAAGAGACACAAGGAGGTGTAGATTAAGTGGGAGCAGGGAGGTCAGGCTTTGGACTTCCAAATGCATTGCCACATATATTATTTCAGAACTTGGAAAAAGAAGAAACATTTTCAAATTTTTAAAAAATTATCATTATACCAAAACTTAGTAAAAATTAAAAATAAAAATAGATAATTCTTACTTCTGAATTTAAAAATTCCCCTAAGTAGATTGATATAATCAAAATAGTGCATTAAACAAGGAAGATTTAATCCAATAATTCAAGGATAGCTTAATAGTAGAAAATACAGACATTATTACATTAAAAGTTATAAGGAAAAAATCATAATCATCTCCTTGGGTACTGGAAATGCAGTTGATAAAACATAATAAGCATTCTTTATAACACTCAAAAATAGAAAAAAAAAGAATGTTCATATAACTTGTGAAATAAACCTATCTTAGCCTCAGTGGCAGCACCTTGACATTTGAAGGCATTTCCACTAAAGTTAGAAACTAGACAAAGATATATACTCTTATTATTTAACATTATTTTGAGTGTCCCGTTCAATACAAAGACAAAAGAAGGAAATCAGGAGTATAAAAGTTCAAAATAAGGAGGTAAAACTATAGGTTTATAGATGATTATATAACTATATTTTATTAAGTGTTGTATATACATAAAAAATCATCTAAAATGCAGGCAAGAGAATTTAGTAAGGTAGTAAGATTCAAAATTACCATATAGACATCAACAGATAAATCAAAGAAATAACCCCAATTATAATGTTAGTAAAAAGGATAAAATATCTAAAATAAAAATAAATGTTGGGGAAAACTTTAAACACTTAGAACACAAAAGTAGACTTGAACAAATGGAAATTAACACCATGTTCTTAGCTAGACTCAACATCATACAAAGTATTATTAATTTTCCTTAAATCGATGTGTAAATTAACTTTAGTTCTCATGAAAACATCATCAGATATTTTTAGAGTCAGATTCAGAAATTTATATAAAAAAGTAAATAAACAAGAAGAGCCAAGGAAATACTGAAAAGCTATGCAATGATGGAGAGAGAGAGAGGAGGAACTTAGCCCCACTAGAACTTAAAATATATTTAAAATACTTTTTTTAAAGACTTGGTAATTAAATGAATGTGGTAATGGTGAGTGAATAGATAGATCAATGGATCTATCCAAATAAACCTATTCTTGCTAAGAATCTGCATCCTGAGAACCCAAAGTGTAACAGTCAACCCAAATCAGTTATTTCAGTGGCTGGGTGAGGCTGGAAATGTGGTGAATGGAGATAAAATTGGGAAGGAGACTTTTAACTCTATGCCTTTTTATAATTAAAAAAAAAAACTGGAGCCACATGTATGTATTATTTAAATCATAAATTAAAACATTTCAGGTTCACTTTATATGCCAGTGATATTTTATGCTTTTCCACGTGTATTTTTTGAAAACGTCTTCTATGTTTCAGTTTAGAAGATATTTTTAATCCAAAATACTATGCCCCACCTCACGCTAAATATGCTTTTCTTTTCTGTTTTTGTTTCAGACCCACAGAGGCGCACCTCCTGATCTCACCTGACAATGGAAATGAAGAAGTCACCTGATGGCGGATGGGGCTGGGTGATCGTGCTTGTCTCCTTCTTCACTCAGTTTCTGTGCTATGGGTCCCCGATAGCGGTTGGAGTCTTGTACTTAGAATGGCTGGATGCCTTTGGTGAAGGGAAAGGAAAAACAGCCTGGGTTGGATCCCTCGCAAGTGGAGTCGGCTTGCTTGCAAGTAAGTGGGTAAATGTATGCTTCTCCTGACTCATTAGTCATTTAATTACATTTAATTACATTTGCTGCATCATTAACACTGTGCAAGACATAGTAGGCTGTTTGTTTTTAAAGTATAACATGTTTTTCTTGCCTTCATTGAGATGATATAACCACTCTTAACCTGTAATAAGCTTGTGTGAAAACACAGAAATTCCATAAGATATTCATTCATTCATGTCTTTATTCATTTATTGGCTACTGTGTGCTAGACAGTGTGCTAGATGCTGAATATGAAAAGATGAAGAGCAAACACATCATTCTGTCCTTAAGAGGCTCACGGTCTTGTGAGAGACACACTTCCATGAGTAAGAATGATACAGGGAAATGAGGGCAGTGATTCAGGCATGTCCCCTGAATGCTGGTAGTCCTATTACATGTTTCATAATTATGCCTCTAATTCAGATACACTGTGATCAAATCACATGTTCTATATTTGTATCACCTTTATAAGAAAAATTTTACATGGCAAAGGGCAGTCCCATCTCACAATGGTGATGCTATTAAGGATTTTAATATAGTGTCTTTTTAATAAGATATGTGTGATATATTTTGTGTGACCTTCATATAATGTCTCCAAAAGTAATATTCTTGATAAACATTTATATCTGATATAATAGTGATTCCTATAATCTTTACAGAGAAAATAGCAGAGGGGTTTTTATATTCATTTTAAGACTTAAAATCATATGGCACTTCAATTTCTGGTATAATAGTTTAAACTTTGCGGTAATATTTAGTGATTATCACTCTAACTTGTTGGCAAACTTACAGGTGTGCTAAACTGGTGACATAGATTGGATCGTTAGCCCCGCGGTATCTTCCTGTGTGCTGTGAACTTGATGTGATTTGTTGAGCAAATCACAATTTCTATTCTTACAGGGAAAATAAGGACATTTAATATAAAGATTTGTAAGGTGTTTCTCAGCTCTAAAATAATTTGGAATGGAAATAAAATGCATTAGCCATTTCTTTTTTTAAAATGTTGTCTTTCCTAAATCATAAAGGGGACTTCTTAAAACAAAACAAAATGAAACAAAAACAGTTACTTCCAATTGTTGTTAAATTAAAACTAAGACTTGCTCCTAATGACTATGTACAGTGAGTGACTGGTTATTAGACTTGATGGTTATTAGACTTACTGTGATGATCACTTTGTAAGGTATAAAATGTTGAATCACTATGTTGTGTACTTCATACTAATATAATATTGCATGTCATTTAATAATTAAAAATAAAGTAAAAAAATAAATACATCCAACTTAAAAAAACAAAAACAAGACCTGAAAAACAATGTTGGATCATCTGGCCATGTCGCATAAGATCATTAAACATAACCAAACAAATGAAAATTATACTGTCATTTTGAGCTCAAGATAAACAGTAAAAGTTTGCCCAAGATTTGTTTGAAAGGGTTTTTACCACCCTGAACATGCCTGATCTTGTCTGAAAGGGTTTTTCAAAATGTGAATTGTTTGTAAAACTGCAAAGTACAAGTGGATGATCATTTATATCTTAATATACGTATTAATTTTGAGAAAATGATCTAATGTGAAGGGGAGAGAATTTTTTAATGTTCTCCAGTTAGTCACCATTTTTATTAGCAGATATTAAGTGAAACAGAAATGTAGCTACCTTGCTGATCCGAGCTGAGGCTGAGACTCTGAAAATGAAACTGCACTCTATCCTTTTTCTAAGTTAACTCTGTCGCAAGGGCCAGGAGCAGCTCCTGTTACTTGTAGGCAAGGTTGGCTGCATAATTTGCAGGCCCCAGTGCAAAATGAAAATGCAGGGATCTTGTTAAAAAAATTAAGAAAACAATAGAACAGCAAATCATTGTGTGGCCTTGCTAAGAGCTAAGCCCTGTGTACTTGCATAGGTCGCAAGCCCATGAAGCCAGCGCTGCTTGAGGCTGGAGATATAGAGTATCCCACCGAAGTTCAGAGGGGGGTGGGATGTTGGTCTTAAGTCAGAGACTACTTCAAGTCCTGGTTCTACCACTATTTAGCTGAGAGATCTTGTGCAAGTCACTTAACTTTCATGTCATTAACTAGGAGAGGAGGTACTTGGAGCAGGTAATTACAGCTTTTGAAGATGAGCATAGAATAAGGAGACCAAAGGATTAGACAATGAGGAAATGGTGGAAAGAATGATGGCTGAAGAGCTACCCCTTAAGGGTGTGTGTGTGTGTGTGTGTGTGTGTGTGTGTGTGTGTGTGTGTGTTGTATGTGTATGTGTGCACTTAATTGTTGTCCACTGAACATATGTGATGTTGGCTTCCCTTGGCTCTTCATAGCATAAATTAAAGGACAAATCCTGAAAACTATGGTAATATAGAATTAGCAAGAGGGGTCTACAAGTATGTGCACCACATTAACCATTTACTTTTTTAAGAACTTTGTTCTACAGAGAAACAAACAGATCAATATCTTGGAAATGGGAAAAGTATCTCATGTTGGTGATTCAAATGGTTGTCAGTGGTTCTTAACCAGGGGGATTGTTAGAATCACCTATAGAAAAATTTCAGCATATAATCACCTGGATTTGAGCATTAGGCATTCTAAGTCAGTCAGTCTACACCGGGGCCCAGATATGTGAATTTTTAAAAGCCCCCAACGTGATTTTCAGTTGGGAGCTACTTTTAAGCCTCTCTATTTAGAATTTCTGGATGTATGATTTGCTTAGACTTATTTATAAAGGGAACTATTGTATGTTTCAGCTTGGATGTGGCACTGCTTCTACCACATAAATCATGAAAAATAAATTATGTTCAATGGTTCTGTTTTTTTTTTTTGTGGGGTTTTGGTGAAAAACACAAGTAAATGGGCATCTTTGCATTCTTTTTGATAAAAGATAATCTATACATATGTGCATGCACACACACACATACACATACATCTTTTTTATAAAAGGTGGGCTTATAAAAAGTTGCTTTTTTTAAAAAAATTTTTTAATTGATTTCAGAGAGGAAGAGAGAGGGAAAGAATGATAGAATGATCGATGATGAGAGAGAATCATTGATTGGCTGCCTCCTGCATGCCTCCCACTGGGGATTGAGCCAGCAACCCAGTCATAGGCCCTGACTGGGAATCAAACAGGTGACCTCCTGGTTCAGAGGTCGACACTTAATCACTGAGCCACAACAACCAGGCTACCGTTGCTCTTAAGTTCAGGAATATGTATGCATTACTGGAGTTTGTCCAAAAAGCCAATTTCCTACCCATCTGTGAGTGGTGTGGAGAGGGTGGTGGGCCCAGGAGTCTTCTTTTAACTAGTTCCCCAGATGATTCTGATATAGGCAGGTCATATCATATGTGAGAAAAATGTGTTATTTTCTTTCCTCAGTTTTGTCCAGAGAAGGCAGGGTAGGCGTCATCTTTGATTAGTTCTGTGATGTGACCTCTGGAACTTTACAGTTGAGCAAGGCAACAGAGTAAGTACAATTGCCCAGCAGCATAGAAATTCTATTCTTCATGTACTTGTCCCTTAAGTTCGCTAAGTGCCCTGTGTGCCTGGCTCAGTTCAGCCTCTTTCACTTACTTGATCCTAAAAACAACGCACTGAGATGGGCATTATTGTCCTCCAGGTTGAGTGACCTAGCCAATTTGAAACCCATTCTCTAAGGGAAAGTGGCACCTGAGTCCCAGTTTTCTAACCTGCTAAGCCTATTTCTTCATCTTTAAATTGGTGGTAATAAAAGTACCTACCTTATGTGCTTGTATGGTAAGTGCTCAATAAATATTGCTTAGTAGGGAACCAGAGTTACCCACAATAAAATTATTTTCCTAAGCAGTCCCAAAGAATCTGTAAAAGAAAGGGTCCCTTCAGGGTGAAAGACAAAGACATTTGTAGAGGGGTCAGCAGGAGGGAGAGCTAGAACTTTGTCAAGATTGTGTCTAAGCATCTGAAATTTAACGGACCACCACTTGTCTCTGACAAACCTAGATTTGGACAGTGGTTGAGTAGCATATTAGAGCTATGAAAAAAAATGCAATTCTTAACTTTACAGTCTTCATAATCTTAATTCCTTCTCTTTGAAACTTGAGTAGTTGAGGAGAAAATACTTCTTCCTCTGACCTGATTTGTTTGTGCAGATTATCCTCAGGATGCATAAAGATGAGTACCAAAGAGCCTACCTCTCTGAGTTGTACATTGATAACCAGCTCACCATCATTATACTCCCCCACAGTCTCCTCTCCTCTGTGCTAGAAGGGATTAGTAGTCTCAAGGAAGAGACAGGAAAAAGAAAAGGTTACTGATAATTTGAGACATCCCAAATATCAAGGAGAATAGCAGGAACCAGACAATCTTTGGAGTTTTTTAAGATAGGTGGGCCACACAGGAGGATGGGCTGTATAAGGTGGATGGTCAGGAAGAGGGCGGGCCATGCAAAGTCCTCATATGCACAAGTGTGGAGTCTGCACTGCAGATGATGCACTTTGGTTGAGTAAATTTGTCTGGAGAAGGAGAGATTGTGACGGTTGGGAGGTGTGATGGTCATTGTCAATTTGGCTAGGCCACATTCCCCAGTTATTCAAACACTAATATAGGTGTTGCTGTGAAGGTATTTTGTAGGTATGCTCAAACTCCATAATCAGTTGACTTTTAAGAAAGGATGATTATCCCAGATAACCTGGTGGACTGATTCAATCTGTGGAAAGGCCTTAGGAGAAGAGATGAGCTTTTCCATATTAAGAAGTTCTGCCCTTGGGCTGTAGTTCAGCCTGTGCCAAGTTCTCACCCGCCCTTCCTTGCCTAGCCAGATCCTACAATTGCATAAGCCAATTCCTGGTGATAAACCTCTTAATATATAGGGTTGGTTTATAGTTGTGAGTACATGGAACACAGTTTATTCTTATGATTTATTAATTATTATATTATTTTCCGTAAGAACAACTGTAAACCTATTGTTGCCCCAACCTACATGTCTTCTTCTGGTTCTGTTTCTCTGGCTAAAACCTG